TTCGAAAAAAGGCCGACCCGTGTTGAACACCCGACGTTTTGTGCAGGCAGCTGCGGCTCATTCACGTCCAGGCCCGCCCGACAGGTTGGGCGAAGTCGGTCCAGTCTGCAAACAGCCCCCAAGTTCGGGGGGAGGCTCGACTCCAACGAGTTCGGGTCGCCAGCTGGACTATACATTGACTATTTGTTCTTCAATAATATATCATCGAATTTATACTACTTTAGTGTCAACTTTAGTACGCATCGAACAATACAGTATATATATATAAACTGGCGCCAGCTGCCCATAGCTGCAAATGGTTTTTCGCCTCGTCGAGACGCGACGTCTTGAGGATGGACAGGTGCAAATGATTGGTTCACCGGGCGGGGGCCGTGAAGGCCCCACGGGGCCAAGGAGAAAGATTGGTTTTCCAAGATCGGACACCGAAGAAGTCATCAACATCATATCTGAATTCATTGGTGTTCGGCTTCTTGGTTGGTGTCACTCTACCATATCATGTATGGGTGTTCTGATCTAAATTCCTTTATCCGGGATCCGTCATCTTAGCCAAAACAATTACTTTAGCCAAACTTTCGCCTTCCTGCGTTATATCTTTCGCCGAAGTATGTTGTATTTATGTGTGCCATGCATGTTGTATGATGGATATCAATTTTGTTCACGTCAATGGCTTCTTCTTTACTGGCAAATACACAATAAAACTTCACTGCTTGTCAGCATGTGTCTTCTACTTAACTGTTGACACCCTGTACGTCTCTTTTGTTTCTCCTGGGTGTCAGCAAGAATCAAAATTGCAAGAATCACTGTAGTAGCCGGTCACTCAGACTTACTCATAATGGGCTGGGGGTCAGATGTGGCAGGATGAACTTTCGCCAATCTTGAGCTGAACTTTCGCCAAACCTTCGCCTTTTGCGGGGTAGAGTTTGTGTTTGTGCCAAAGCCATCCCCCAAAGCAGGAGCAGGAATAGTAGTAGTAGTAGTAGTAGTAGTGGTAGTGGTAGTGGTAGTGGTAGTGGTAGTGGTAGTAGTAGTAGTAGTAGTAGCAGTAGCAGTAGCAGTAGCAGTAGCAATAGTAGTGGTAGTGGTAGTGGTAGTGGAAGTAGTAGTAGTAGTAGTAGTAGTAGTAGTAGCAGTCGCAGTGGTAGTGGAAGTAGTAGTAGTAGTAGTAGTAGTAGTAGTAGTAGTGTAGCTGCAGAAGCAGCAGGAGTAGTAGTGGTAGTGGTGGTAGTAGTAGTAGTACTAGTAGTAGTGGTGGTGGTAGTGGTAGCGGAAGTAGTAGTAGTAGTAGCAGCAGCAGGAGTGTAGTAGTAGTAGTAGTAGCAGTAGTCGTAGTCGTAGTGGTAGTAGTAGTAGGTAGTAGTAGTAGTAGTAGTAGTAGTAGTAGTAGTAGTAGTAGTAGTAGTAGTAGTAGTAGTAGTAGTGGTAGTAGTCGTAGTAGCAGTCGCAACAGCAGCAAAAAGAACATCTTTAGCCATATCATTCGCCAAAAAGAACAATTACTTTCCCCAACTCGATTAAAAAAAAACTTGTGCCAAATGATATTTTGATATGTTCCGGGTCATCATCATCAACAATCCTGTCTAGGACCTTTAGATCGACAACCATATACACATGTACATCATCAAGTCATCTCAAGTGATTGTTCCATCAATATCCATCAATAGCTCAATACCGTGATTTTTACTGATGTGTCCGAAGCTTGGATGAGCTGGCATCCATGCCGCTTTCCTGTGCACTCACGATCCCCTTACCGTCCAAGCCGACCGGCGGACCGGCGGACCGGCGGACCAGCGGACCAGCGGACCGGCGGACCAGCGGACCAGCGGACCAGCGGACCGGCGAACCGGCGGACCAGCGACCAGCGGACCAGCGGACCCGCGGACCGGCGAACCGGTGGACCGGCGGACCGGCGGACCGGCGGACCAGCGGACCGGCGGACCGGCGGACCAGCGGAACAGCGGACCGGCGAACTGGCGGACCAGCGGACCATGCAGCGGACCAGCGGACCGGCGGACCAGCGGACCGGCGGATCGGCGGACCGGGGCGGACCGGCGGACCCGCGGACCGGCGGACCGGCGGACCAGCGGACCGGCGGACCAGCAGGCTGGCGAACCAGCTTCGGCGGACCAGCAGAGCAGGCAACGACCAGCGGATAGCGGCTAAGCGGACCAGCGGGCGCCAGCACTTGACATAGAGTCCCACCCTTCCCACCCTTGCCTGCGCCACCAACAGGCCAGCGGACCAGCGGAGATAATAATGGTGGTGGTGATGGGTGTTTTGGTTGTTGTTCTTGTTGTTTTTGCTGCTACTACTGTTTCAGCCCGGGACACTCAATGCGTCCTTGGTCAGGCTTCGCCTTGCTGCTTCGCCGCGTGGCGTTTGGAGGCGCGGTGGGAGTTTCGTCTGGCTGTACTAATGAAGTCAATCGCTTTGCCAACAGCTTGCTGCCTGTGTCGCCCATGGCATGAGCCTTTTCACTTGGCCGCATCGTCTTCTTTCATCCTCAAGCTGCTGGCCTTGTCTCTTGATTTCTTTCATCGGCGCATGATTGCAACCGCGGTCGAAAACATGACTTGCAAACATCTACCGTGCTTCTGCTTTTGAACCAGCATGCAAGTATGCAAGTTGCCATTGCAAGCGCGAGACCCGCAAGCCACCCTGCTATCAGCAAACATCAATCTAGCATTTTCTTTTTTTCATGCAGCTGCAATGACGAATCCACAGCATCAGTGCCATGGGGTCCTTGCGCAGGCCATTTGTGACGCTGACCCGGCTGCGCAAATTTCGCCAGAACTAGTCCATCATTTGGCGACCAGATTAGAACCGCTCTTCAACCAAAGGGTTGCTGTTTTCGGCCGGGAAAGCAAAGCTCAAGAATTGGTGCCGCAGCTTGTTGCTTGCCCTGGGTGCGGAGGACGACTTGCTGAATGTCGGAGCTCCGCTGCTGCAGCTATCGTCGTAGATCTGTCGGGTTTGGTCCAGAAACAACACATTCCACTGAGATGTCGGCGATCCTCCTGTCCAGACTTTGGTGTGCTGCTGTGGTACAACTATACAGTGCGGAGTGGGTGCCATCATTTTGCAGGAGAGCTACCTGAGTTGAACTGCTTCATGTTGTCCGCCACCTTCGGCTTCAGTGTCCCCTGGTTGCAACAGTTTCACGTACGCATGGTGAGGCAACATGCGTCTTTCACAAGTGAAGCAGATGTGCTCGGCGCGCAGGCAGCTTACAATTCCCAGCTCCATCTCTTACCAACAGCTCGATTGCGGCTTCTCATTAGCCAGGGGTGGTTTGCTTGGCGTCTCCTCACCCGGGTGCACCAAAAGCAATTTGGACCTAGCATCTTTTGATTTCTTGCGGCCCATGGAGGACATGATTGGCTTATTCTTGCCGCAGTTGCAAAGAGAATTTGGCACGACTACCTTGGAGGAAGCCCAAAAAGCCACGATGCGCTGTGACGTTGTTGTGCTCGATGGCAATGCAAAAAATCGTCGAGCTGTTTGCGGAGCCTCATTGGCCGGAGAAACTTTTTCCAAGGAATTGCGCCGGGTGGTCCGCCACAACTGTGCCAATACTCCCGCTTTTCGGAGATGCTTCTGTCCCGCCCATTGCAGTCAAGATGATCAATTCCAGGCGGGGGGGGCAAAGCATTTCCAACCGCAAAAATGGGTAAAGTTTTTCTTTTTCAGCCACTCTGCCTCAGGAAGTGACCATTCTTCAGCACAAGCTCATCAATGACGGACAGTGCTTGATGGTCTTGCTGAAAGAGACTGTGGAGCCTCAAAGAGAAGCTTGGGTATCCGATTCTGCAGTTCCAGCGTCTGTCCTGTCCAACTATTTGCAGCAAGTGGGCGAGGCGAAGTTGAAACCCAGCAAACGCCCACGGCAAGAAGAGGAGGCAGACGGCAGAGGCGGCTCTTCCTCATCGCTTGGACCTTCGATGCTTGCGAGTCTAACGTTGCAAGAGATTGGGCGCTCGTCCGACCCAACAGATTTGCAGTGCGTGACTTGCTGCACACACAAGGAAGGCAGCGCTGCTCAAAGGCAGCTTGCCAAATCTGCTGGAATGTTGTGCGCATGTTTGTCTGAGGGTTTGATTTTGCACATGCAAGAAATCTACGGCTGTGAGTCGTTGAGCCAGAGATACCTATGTCTGGCGTCTGTGAAAGCCCTCTTGCCGTCCCTTCGCGTGGTGGTCCACGATGATGCTTGCCATTTGCACAAGTACGCGGCTCGTCGCGCCCAGGATGGAAACTCAAAGGGGATGACAAAGCCACGAAATTCTTTGGGCAGTGAGAGCTATAAGCACCGTGCTAGTGTTCTGTTGTTTCTTGCGTGAATGCGTTTCACGTTTTATATTGCCCATGCGCAGGATTCAGAAGCTGCTGCCCAGATAGCCCCGCCAGAGATGAAGTACGTGTGCGACAAGTTCCACATGGCTGGCCATACCGATGCTTGGTGTAAAGAGACGTGCGACACAGCCTTGCCTGCAAACGCTTCTCTTCTTCAAGGCATTCGGACTTCGGTCTGTGAATTCACTTTTACCTGGTTGAGCAAGTACAAACACCAAACCAAGCACATGAACAAGCACGGCTTCCAATTCTTCTTGCTCGATATGGCGTGGAGCCACAATGAAATTATACTCCAAGGAGGCTACAGACCAGAGGAGGTCGCCGGCTCTGCGGCATTGGAAAGGACCGACTGACAGTCTAAAGTTAAGATTTAGGATTTCAAGCGCGGCCTGTGCCTTATAGACTGGATCGAAGCTGTGGAATGGAAAATTCATGGTGTGTCGTACCCGCTCATTGCATTGACCTGTTGCTTCAAACGGCTACATATCACGCGGTACATGACTCTGTCAGTGCGCATGTGCAGATGCCTCGCTTTGAAACCAAACTGTTTTGCGTAGCTTCGACTAAGTCTGACTAAAGTGTTCCAACAAAGCCTTGCATGATGGCCGTGACAGCCGCGTCTGCTCTGAGCTCGGTGGCGCGGCCAAGCCATGTCGTCAGTTCTGGGGCCCTTGTCTGGAGCCCACGAAGACAGACAGTACATCCCTGCCATGAATTTGATGTGGGATGAAGTGGACAAGTGCTTCGACCCAAGCTACATCCTTGGAGAAGCTGGGCACCGCTTCTGCCAAACATACGCTGTTAGGGCAGCCCATGCAGAATTTCCTTACGCCCTCCACTGCTTGTCGCTGATGTGTGCTCTTGTGAACGGTGCCAAAGTGGCTGTCTTTGCTACCTCGCCATCGCCTTTGACGTTGGTTGCAATTAATGTCAACTACGCCCAGACGAGAAAATCATCCTTGACAGGACATGCAGAGGCTTGTGGGCAGGAGTTGGACGCAGTCATCTTGACGAACGCGGAGTCCAAGCTGGCGACATATTGTGTGGAAGAAGGCGCTCCTGCGCCAGTGCAGCACAGGTGTGAGCGGGCTGTTGAAACAGGGGGCTGGGAAGTTTTAGGTGTTGAATTCTAACCAAAAACGAGCCCGCCTTTTGTGCCAGGTTGAAGCCGAAGCTATTCTCCGCAATGGTTGCCAGCGCAACGCCGGAGGAGTGGTTCCATCGATGCTCGGGCGATTGGAACCAGGTCCGAAATGCTGACAAGTTGCCCGGAGACTGGTCTGGCCGATGCTGGTTTGGCTTGCTGGGGAATTTTGATGAGGCCTACGACTTCCTGCTCAGCTTGGGTCTCTTGTCCGATGGGCCTGCATCCAAGGAGAAAGCCAAGGCAAGGGTGAACCCGTACCAGAGTGCCTTCAACAAGCTCTTGCAGTTTGGAACCAGCGCTCGCGCCACGAAAACGAATGGGAGCTATGGAGAGAAGCTTGCTAGAACTGTTAGCGTGGGGATCACTTGCAATATGCACCCTGCGCAATACATCCCTATGGAAAGAGGTGAGGTTGGTTGCCACGCAGCTTCCACCAAAGAACGGTTTGTCATCTCCACTGGCCGCCCTGTGCAGCCGCATGAAGACATGCCGGCAGATTTCTGTTGCCCTCCAGGACAGGTGTTCTGCGCGATGGGTGTTGTGTTGAAGCGTTTTAGATTCTGTAAAATCTGCTCACATTCTTTGCTGGATTTGCTTTGCGCAGGAGTTTCCCGGCACCGATGGGTTCCTCTCACAGCCGAAATTGCGGAACTGCTGGGCATAGCCAAAGAGGCTGCTTCGCCAGATGCTGCTGCTCAGGAGTGGAAAGACGTTGGCCTTGAAGATGAAAAAGCAGTGCAGCTCACCCAGAATGCAGCGGGCGACTATGTCCCATCAGAAGATGGGTACCCTGTGAGGCTCTTGGATGGCAAGATGAGCCGCCTACGGTTCAAACGTTCTCCTGCGTCGACGTCTGGGTTTGAAGCTCAGTGGCGCGTTGCCAACAGAAGCTTTGCCATTCCAGCAGAGTGCTCCCTGACGGCCGCTGTCTCCCAAGTCACTGCCTACTTCGACCAACCTCACCAAGTCATTGCCCTCACTCCGGAGGCGGAGTCTTGGCACATGTCCTACCAAGGTGGAATGAATGTGCACGCCCATCTGTCTCGCGAATCAGGGGATGTTCAGGGTGGCGCTCGCTTTGGAGCCGCTCCGTGGCAAGTGGGAGTTTTGGCGGCTTTGCTCCTGGTGTTTGAAATCTTTGTGGGCGCGCGCAGTGTTGAAGCTCTTGGACGGAGGGATTTGCAGGTCACTCCAGATCATTGCCAAAGGGCCTATGCTCTGCTCCAATTGGTTTCTTGGCACTTTGTTTCTTGTTTGTTTATTTTCAAAAACCCAAGATCTGTGGTTGGCGCTATATTCGCGAATTCAGGTCCAGAAGCTGAAGCATATTGCTTTGGGAGATGCAGCCGCTAGCCCAGACCATTTCCCCCAGCAGCCAAGTCCGCAACCTGCTTTCGATTTGGCAACTTTGCGTGTTCCTTATCAGACGGAAGATTTTGCTTCGACCCAGCATGGTCCCGGACTTCGGCTTCCCCAAGCTGGCGAGGAAGAAGAATTTGAACTTGAACCTGAAGAAGAAGATGCGGAACCTGGGCCCAACTCGCTTGTCAGGCCCCCAGACAGCGTGGCCGAAGTCGTGGAGGACCTACCGCCCCAAGATCCACCCGCAGGCGAAAAGCCGCTGGTTCTTGATGAAGTGCGGGCAAGTGATTTTGGTTTTGGCGAGAATGGCGTCACAGTCCAGCCTGACGGTCTCTTCAGCCGTCACTGGACAGACCGGGCAATCCTGAAGCACACCTTGCTGACCGGCAAGCCAAAGATGACTCGCAAAGAAGCGTGTGACAAAATGCGCACCAGCAGGGAACAGGGCCGCCGCAAAGCGCTTCCGAAAGAGAAATGGACAGCGGTCATGGCGGCAGCCGCAGAGCAGCATTCCAGCATCCTTCAGCTCCAGGGTGAGACTTTGTGTTTGAAAGTGATCCCAGACACAGCGCAGGGCAAGGTGAAGTACCACAATGAATTGATGAGGGCTTGTGGGCTGACTTTGCGGGAGCTGGTGGCCGCCATGGAGAAAGCATCCAGCAACCAGGAAAGGAAGCGCCAGGAAGATCGGCGCAAACGGCCCAGAGATGAGGAGTGAGCCGTTGTGGAGATATACAACAGTCGCTAAGGAAGTGTGAAAAGAGCTCATCCGCAGGTGTTTGGTTGTTCAGGTGCAGGCAGCCAAGTGGGTCCTGCAGAACCTGCGTGAAACCAATCCACCCGTAGGTATTCCACCCGCCGAGCCCTTCCCAGAATTTGGTCATGACAATCTAGATCCGAACTTGTCTCCCTTAATTGCAGACCTGTCAGCCACAACAGCAGCGTAGGCAGACCTTGCGCCTACACTCTGGTGCAAGACTAGCAGGAGCGGTGGCCAGGGATGGGGGCGTTGAAGTTTGGAAAAAGCAGGGTGTACGGTGTACATCAGAGATTCTGGTGGGCATTCCAAAGCATGATCACTTCAGTTCAATGAGGGTGACTTCTGTTACTGATTTTCGGCTTCAAGCCCCAGGTATAGGTGAGGCGCTTCCGTTCCGCCGCATCACCCTTGCAGGGCAGGCCCAACGAGGTTGATTGTCAGACGCTGCCTAACGTTGCTGTCTGAAGAACAAAAAAATCTTTCCATGTCCAGTTTATAGACCACCGGAACCGCAGACCGGACCACTGGACGAGCGCATCCATGAGAGCAGCGGACCGCGGACCAGCGGACCAGCGGACCAGCGGACCCGCGGACCGGCGGACCAGCGGACCAGCGGACCAGCGGACCGGCGAACCGGCGGACCGGCGGACCGGCGGACCAGCGGACCAGCGGACCAGCGGACCGGCGGACCAGCGGACCAGCGGACCGGCGGACCGGCGAACCGGCGGACCAGCGGACCAGACAACCGCACGATCATAAGTCTGTGGCCAGTCGTCCTTTCAGGATGAGACCGCAAAAAAGATGTGCGTCGTGTCCAGCACTGCTGGACTCGTCTGAAAACCACAGTGATACTCCGTGGCAATTTGCTTGAAGAGAGTCAAGGCCTGCAAGTTTCTGGGTCACTTGCACATACTTGCAAAGGGAGAAACACCCCAAGGTGATGACAGAAAAGCTGACGAAGGGCCTTGGTCTTTCTTGTCTGGAGCTTGTTTGCTAAATACCTCATGAACAAACAAACGCACACTCATTGGATCTCAATGGTGCTGATTTGACGGCCTATAAGAATCCCTTTGCTTGAGAGTCTACACCCCTACATGATAGAGTCGGCCTCTTTAAAATGCCTTTTGATGCCTTTTGTCAAACTGCACAAACACATTAATATACTCTACTTAGCTACTGACCAACATGTCACGCCCGGAAGCATACTCAACAGGTTCTCTTGTGCTACCTGCGTCTCCAAGCACTGCGCCGGAGATCTTGGATCTGCGTCGGTCACATTTGCACAGTTCTCGCTCAAAAATCACCCGTATTGGGTGAGGCGCTTCGCTGCCTCGCTTGGTCTGCCCACTTTCCTCAAAAACAACACCTCTGAGACTCTGGGAGGGGGGCAGGGGGGGCGGAAGGTGATGGGGGGAAGATTGGGGCAAGCGAAGTGGGGCGCCCTTCAAAGCGGACCAAATCTGGCCGGTGTCCAAGTCCCAAGCAAGTGATTTCGAGTCTCCAAATGTTGTTCAACAGGAACGACAAAAACACTTGGCACGACGATGATGGACCCCCTAAGATGTACGTGGATGATTAGTGATCTATTGTGATTTGGGAGATTCTTTCCTCACTTGCGAACTCCAGCGTTTCTGAAGGACCTTCTCGGCATCCGACACCAGGCTCGGACTCGCGATCGCGAGTCCGAGGCAGTCAGGGAGGACTCGCGGGCGACCTGCGGAGGACATCGGTCGACGGATCGAGGAACGCACGAGTCGTCTGACTAGACACGAGTCGGACCGATGGGACTGGACGATGGGACTGGACGTGGTCGGGTGGTTGTGGGGAGCATCATCTGTGGCATCTGCTCTTGTGCCATGGAGTGTCTGAATCATTGGGTGTTATTAGTTATATGAGGTAAATCCCATGACCAGGGCGCTCCGGGATGATCAGTACAAAGACCTTCACCATCCCTGCCCCATCATGGCGAAGCATAAAGGACACATTTTGGTGTTTCTTTTGAGTTCATGGTCCAAACATGTTCACTCTGACTTGACGAATGGTGACAAACGCCAGGCATCGGCTTGATGGCGCCAGCTTAAACATAATATATCATAATATGTTTGATGGCTGTACAAAACAGGTGCCAGCTGAATTTCTCAGGACGGTAGTTGATTCAGAATCTAGGCGCAAACGTCCGTATTCCCTACGGAAACCGTGTATTTTTCCCCATGGTTTTCCTTTCAATCGATGTGCCACAGGTCCAAGTATCACATTTGACCGGGCCAACCGGGCAAACATCAATTGCTCACCCAGCCTGCAGGCCCTATAGCCTGACACTCCAGCGCTTCACCCCTATAGCATCCTATAGCTACATTGTACCACCCAGTTTGGGTGGTTATTGGAAAGACATGGAAAGACCATACAGAGTCAGGAGATCGAACCAACCTCTCCCTGGGTGCCTGGGTGGTTCTACCTGGGCACCTGGACTTGTTCGACATCAACGCGAAGGCTCCAACCACATCATCTGAAGGTTGGGAGATGGTCGATTAGTTGGGGGTGGTTGAGCAATGGATTCGATAGTAGGCAACTCATGACTCCAGTCCCATGGATGCGGAGTGTGGGCATGTGTCCTCACAAATCACCGGCCATGGCCCGCCACGAAAGACGGACGGACACGTTCCAACAGCATGGCCTGCATGCAACATGCCGTTCCAACAGCAGCTCTGGTCTTTCAGAAAGCACCGAGCCGAGCCACACATCCCAATCCCATCATCACCAACTCATGGCCGTGGTCTCTTGCAAATCCCTTTCAAAAGTGCCACCCACCCACACTTTTTTTCAGACATCCCCTCCGCCCAACCGGCAGTCTTGGTCCACCAATCCGTTGCGGACCTACCAGTCCATGACTCCAGTCACGCGACGTCCGACCTGGCCTTAAAAGCTCACCTGGACCATCGGTTCGTTACCCTCTTCCTCGACCTCGGTGGAGTGGGACACGCCCAAGGCCTCGGAGTCTGCCACGCTCAAGCCGCGCTTGTCGGGCACCAGCAGCCCTGGCCAGTGCGACATCACGGTGCCGGCGGGCTGAAACTGCTTCGAGACCACCGCTCAATGGTTCGGTCACTGAGAGGTCTGAACCTAAAGAACCTAAAGAACGATGGTGTTGCTTTTTTGTTCTTTCTGGTGTGACTCAAACGTGAGATCTATGGTGCGATGTTGTCGTTGAAACAACTCCAGTAGAATGAGGTCTGAGGTCCAACGAGTCGTCCCAGGCGGACGACTGATCATCTCCGGTCTCGCCTTCGCTCACGCCGGTCTCGCGGTCCAGGATCATTTGGCCCAGAGCCTGGATTTTGTTTTCCTCGGAGTCGTCATGGAGGGCAGTCTCCAGGTTCCCATTTCATACGTAACCAATCGAGTATGATATAGTATGTGATGCAGTGTCAGAATAGATTGTCTATAATTGTCATGTCTATACTATAGCTCTGTAGTCATCTCTATTGGGAGATTATTGTCACCTAGCTTATCACTTCCCAGTGCTTGTCAAACATCGTTGGTCTGGTATTCTTTTCAGGCAACACCTGTCGCATCCTGTCGCCCGATATCACTTGTCGAGGAAGTCCTACAAAAGTTTAAGGCCGGCAATGTCAATGTCCCTGGAAGGAAGGAAGGACGGAAGGAAGGAACACGGAAGGGAAGAAGGTGAGAAAAAGGCAGGGCAGAAGGTAAGCTAGGGAAAGGATGGCAGCAAAGGAAGGAAAGGGAAGGTGTGATGACAATACTGTGACCTGAGCATGTGTTTTCTCATGTTTTCTCTGGTACCATCAAAGTGTTGTAGTCCCATTCACCTCTTTCATCTAATCAATCCCCCCTTCACTTTTCCATCGTATTCCTGGGATTAGCGAGGATCTGGGTGACAAATGTGACACAAAAAAGAGGTACCAAACCCAAATCAACCAAACAACACAAAACAATCCACCAGGATCTTCCGTGACCTCCTTGAAAGTCTCTATAGACTAAACAAGAGATACTCTTATATACCTGGAACTTGCTGGTTGCACTTTTTCTGCCTTTGGGTTTTGGGAGTCCTAAAAATGCCTCTAATGCAAAAAAACGCACACCCACCACCCCTCCAGTCTGCCCAGAGCGCGGGCCTTGCAGCCCATTTTTTTCCTGGAGCTCAATCCCTTGAATCTGTCCGAGGCTTAGAAACGACGCTTCTTTCGAAACTTGCCGATGCACAGCACAGTTTTGACTTGCCAAGCCTGCAAGATTGTTCTTTCAATCCTCTTGAAGCTGATGCGTCTAGATTGTCTGGCCACACGGCCAATGAAGTCTTCACTCATACTGCAATCGAAAGCACACATATTCAGCATAAACTGGCGAGTTCGGTTTTGCAGTGTGTTCAGCATGTCACTCCGGAAGTGCATGAGTGCATGAAGTTTTGGGACCATACCTTTGGTGCATGTGTCACAGCACCAGGTTCCACCTTCACTGGTGTCACCTCACTCATGGCCATGCGTGCTATTGCCACCACTTAAGCAGGTCCCTAGCAAACAGTGCACTCCCTCACTTCGAGAAACGGCTCAAAAGAAGGTTGGAGGTTTGACTCACGCATGCCAGTGCACATGCACATCAATGCACAAAAACACTGCGCAGAAACATGCCAAGCGCACCATCCGCCACCGGCCAGGTGGAGCATGGCAGTGGATCGTGCAGTAAAAAAAGAAGACGCTGCAGCTGCTGCAGTTTTGGGATGTTTGGAACCTTCCACCACTCAATCAGCCTATGGCCCACCGGCCCACCCTTGTATACCTTTTAAAGTATATTTTGTATTTATTGATCATGGTTCAGTGAGTAGGCCTGACTGGAGCAAGAGACATGATGTGCAAGAAACGCCTCTGATTGCAAAAACTGCCTATTTCACAAGAGGCTGAAAAACAGCACACCTACCAAGATGTAGGTAAGTACT